CTTGCTTTTTGGTGGTGTTATGTCCATGTTCGCTATGAGAAAGGTAGGATAGTGGTCAGTTGTTCTGTCGTAGATTATACCAGATACAAGGGGAGCTGTTATGTTTGTCCATATGTGATCCAAGGTAGTGGCTGATGTTTGAGTGACTCGGGTAGGTTTGGTGATTGTGGGGATTAGCATACAGGAGTTCATGCTGTTAAGGAAACAGTCAACTTGAGAGCAATTTTGTTGACCCAGGTCAATATTAAAATCTCCTCCCAGAATGATGTGATTTTTGTTGAGATTGTTGTTTATAATAAGATTCCTTAGGTTGTCTGAGAAAGAAGCTATGTTAGTATTGGGAAATCTATAGATGGCTCCAGTAGTCAAAGAGGATTTAAGGGATTTATTTGTAAACTGAGCAAAAGTATATTCACAGTAGTCATCTCTGTCACTAATGACACTGTTGCAGATAAATGTATCTCGGTAATATATAGCTGTGCCACCACGTTTTTTATTAGGCCTACAGTTATGAATGGCTTTATAACCAGCTAAGTTGTAGAGTTGGGTAAAGTTAAAAATAATGAACGATAAGTTAGTACCTAGTGCTGTGAGTAATGCATTTATATCGTCAAAATGTTTACCAAGTGACCTAACATTTTGGTTGTAAACTGATAAGTAGGTGCTATTTTGGAGTTTGTTTTTTGCCTGGTGTGCTGTGTAATACTTGCAATAATGATGATCAATGTGCTGGTTGGTGTAGATATGAGACAGAAGATTTTGATCAGGATCAATATCAGTGTGCATGGAGATGCAGAGGGATCACGATACAAGATTCACGATATAGCAAAACACAAGAATAGAAGCAAAAACAATAAAATAGTAACAAATAAGAAGTAAAATAAAGATCCAATAGATAGCCAGGAAGGACACAGAAGTTAGATAAAAGAAAAAACAAAAAATCAGTAAAGACTGACAATATAAATGTAAAATAAAAAAAATATTAAGAAAAATAATAATCATAAAGCAAAATGATCTTAAAGATAATTAGCTTAGTAATGGTTAATTAAAATCCTATAATTAGTATGAACCTAAGAAAACAAAGTGAGCTCAAATAGATAATTCCAAGAAAAAAAAGATGACATATAAATCTAAGTAAATCTAGAAATTTACTCTAATATAAATAATGGTGCTTCACCAATCACCATTATATACAATAGTTTGTGCTTTGAAAATATAATTAGAATGGATTGTATGAACGTTAACAGAAAACGATGTTGCACTGGTATGTTTATGGGGGTACAGTACTGCAAACAGAATGGATACACGGTCCAAAACAAGTCACACGTACGATGTTTATGGGGTCCACTACCACCCAGAATTATATGTATGGGTTCCAATACCACCCACAGGATGGGTTTGGGGACCACTATCATCCATAGGATGGGTATGGGTCCACTGCCGTTTACAGGATGAGTATGGGGTCCATTACCACCCACAGGATGAGTATGGGGTCCATAACCACCCACAGGATGAGTATGGGGTCCATTACCGCCCACATGATGGCCCATGGGGTCCATTACCGCCCACAGGATTGATATGGGGTCCACTATCGCCCACAGGATGGATATGGGGTTCATTACTGCCCATAGGATGGGTATGGGGTCCACATACTACCCACCACAAGATTTATATGGGGTCCACTTCCGCTAACAGGATGGATATTGGGTCCATTACCGTCCAAAGGATGGGTATGGGGTACATTACCACCCACAGGATTGCCAAGGGGTCCACTACTGCTCACAGAATGGGTATGAGGTCCACTACCGCCTACAGGATGGGTATGGGGTCTGTGGAGAGGGTCACCACGTGGTGTGACAATGGGGTGATATAATACTAAGTATAATAGTAGGAAATGTAGATGTTTATCTCTCAATGTTTGGTAATATGTTTATTGTTTGTGATGTGTGTATATGTATGTATTAACACGATGTACTGAACGGGGTAAGAATAGCTTGAGCTACCTCATCTCTTTGTGTGTATTTTACCTTTATAAACTTATTTCAATTTCAAGTATAATAGTTTACCTTGAGCTGTAGTCGTCGGGGAAGGTAGGTGAAGCAAGTCTAGGCTTCTCAGGGAAGGTAGAGCAGAGAATGGCAAAGCTTGAACAAATCCATAAGGGCCGTGATGAGGGTTCCAACCTTCGTCCAAGAGGATCCCAAACGTGTCTGGGATTCTCTCGGACGTAGGTTCGAACCCTCGTCACGGTCCTTGTGGATCTGTTCATTTGATGCATCACGCTATTGTGATTTCTGTGTGTAATGGCAAAGCTTCGTCAGTCAGCCAGTTAGTATATATCCTAAGTACAAGTGGTTGCCGGGTGGGCTTCGTCCATGTTGGGTCACTTGCAGTTCATCTCTGTCCCTCTTGGCCCTCTCTAGGCCTGCGCGGGAAGACTTTGCGCGGCCGCCGTCCACCAATCAGGGCAAAATCCTGCCTACACTATGAAATGTCTCCCTTGGCGGGCTCTTTGAATGTGGTTCTCTTCACACTCCCCATCCCTATTGAACAATGGGTATATTAGAGAGCTCATGTCTCACTATACATAACATGTCCTTTTGGAAAAAAAGAGTCTTCACCAGCTCCACACTGAAGGGTGGAGTTGCAAACAAGGCAACAAAAGACAACATTTCTGGTTAAACAAATGGGGCCAATCACAACTATTTCCCATATTATCTTTGTACATTCTCCAATAAAACATTTATCTGTGCACTATACACACATTGTTTCAACATTACATACACTACACTACATTTTTCCTTTTTTTGAAGATTCTTTCCTAGGAATTTACTCTGCCCTAACAATAGTCCTCGCACCTAAGCGAGGTTATGGGTCCTTCTTTGACAGAGTAACTCTTTTCACACATCTCGCCCCCAGGATCCCAAGGAAAAGCAATTGGATCTATGCCTTTCAAGAACTGACCAACTGCTAGTTCGCCTATTATTTTAGTTTCAGCACTCCTTTCCACAATGTGTCTTAACGAGCCCCACTTCCTGAAAGGACTTGGCTTCGCTTCCTGATCCCGACCTGTCTGTTCAGTAGTGGCACGGTCCCGAAGTGCCACTACTGTCCTGTATTGGATCACTGAAGGAGCCTTTCCTGATGAGTTCCCACTTAGCATAGCCGTACTCTGCTGATTGGCCTTGTCTGGTCTGGTTATGTTCATGTCCCCCCTGTCAGTGTGAGCCGAGATATCTTCCACGCCCTCAGACAATACCTGGTCAGCATCTTGCTCTGATGCACCTCCTAGGCGTGTTATGAACTAAGTCGGATTTAGGCCGAGTAAGCCGACCCGGCAGTGTTAAAAGGCAATATCTGATCCTCAAATGAAACACGTGGCTTGTTGCCCGAGGTGTCCCAGTGCTGGCGAACTCCTTCCCCATCACTTCCGGATTCCCCACACTCCCGGTATGGGGGCCTCGTAGCCTGGTGGATAGCGCGCAGGACTCGTAATTCTGTGGCGCGGGTTCGATTCCCGCACGAGGCGGAAACAAATGGGCAAAGTTTCTTTCACCCTGAATGCCCCTGTTACCTAGCAGTAAATAGGTACCTGGGTGTTAGTCAGCTGTCACGGGCTGCTTCCTGGGGGTGGAGGCCTGGTCGAGGACCGGGCCGCGGGGACACTTAAAAGCCCCGAAATCATCTCAAGATAACCTCCCGAGCAAAATGACAGTCTTTCACCTGTAGCACTGAACAGGAGGCCTAGGGGATGGGCTACGGCGATTATGTGGTAACATAAGGGCAGCTGTGAGGCACCTTAAATTCTCACACACCTGGTCCAATTTGTCGTTAACCTCTGCAATCCCTATTGCCAAGGTGTCCAATTTCTCATCCATACCCGTAGAAGATAGAGGACCCAATCCCGAACTTGTCGGCCGGTGAGCGCCAATTCCACGGCCAGAAGGGCTGATAACCGATGAAGTGCCCTGGGATCTGGTCAGGGTGCGTGAAGGGCGCTGAAAAGCGCCATTACTCGTGGGTGGCTGCTCATACCGGGAATATCTACCCGCTGCAGTTACTCTCACTGCTGGGCCCTAAGACACACGTTGATGCGAATCTTATTTGGAAGAACCTGAAGACCCATGGATCGCAACAGCATTGTTTTGGAAAGTTTGGGCCCGATTAATAGCCTCCTCCATGTACAACACTGACTAAAGGCGTAGTACATACATACACTTAATTGCCAGAATCGCACCAAAATATTGTGAATATTAGAGTTTACCTGAAAAGCTGAACAGAAAACCAAGACCTAACCTAACAGTCTTAGTGTATGAGGACAGGCATTTTATTGGTTCTTAATCACAATTAGTTCCTAACCTATAGCTATATTGATATTACAGTTTTATACATCTAATAAAACAAAACTAAAATCTTTCAATAAATTATAAAGTAACTAATATAAAGTAACTAATTGAAGTAACTAGCTTTGCTTCCATTTTCAAATTTTGTATAAAATCTCTCTTGTTTAATAAAACTGAAAAAGAAATTCTTTATATTTAAAACTTGTGTATATCAAATCAAAAATGAAAACTTCATCCTAAAATTGTGAGTACCTTAATAGAAAACGAGGAGAATATATGGGGAGGTAATTGTGACGGCACAAGTAAGTGTATTTATGTACTAACACTAGCAGTCAGGAAGTAAACTTATTACACTTAGTATTAAAATGTACTATTTATTTAATTTCGACAAATGCAAGTCCATGCATGTGGGGCATAACAACCCACGCCATGACTACCAAATTAATAGCATTACATTACAGCAGATTGATGAAGAAAGGGACGAAGGAGTCACGATCCACCTCTCATTAAAAGTTTCACAACAAGTGGGTGCAGCAGTCAGAAAAGCTAACCAAACTCTTGGGGTAATCACTCGTACTGTTGACTATAAGGAGGGAAATTGTTGAGGAAAAGAAGGTAATGGTTTAACTGTATAAATCTCTGGTGCCTGTCACTTAGATTACTGTATACAAGTATGGAGACCTCATTGTCAGAAGGACATGGCAGCTCTGGAGAAGGTGTAACACCGGGCATCAAAAATCATTCAATAGCTAAGGCATCTCTCATATCAGGAACGCTTGAAGGCCACAGGACTAACAACACTGCAAACCAGGTATGACAGACAGATCTCATTGAGACTTAAAATACTGAACAAGTTGGAGGATGTTGATCTAGATATTGTCTTCAGAAGGTCAGATGTAACACAAATAAGAAGTAACAGTTTCAAGCTCAACAAGCCACAAGGTAGGTCCGAGAACAGATGCTTTTTCACCCACAAGATTATTAACCCATGGAACCGTCTACCCACCGAAGCTGTAACTGCCAAAACTGCGCTGAATTTCAAAATAAACATGGAGAAAATCAAGGCAAATGGGGGAGACTTTCGACAAGCCGGCGGCTTCCTGTCATCATTGAGGCCACTAAGGTTAGTGGCCCTCAAGTAACTCAGATCAGAGATCCTAATATGTGGGTCAGAGTGAGTTGGTTCAGGGGTGTATGTATCTGCCCAGCATAATCCAAAAATGGAATGAGATATAGACAAAAGAGTATCTTGCCTTTCTACGAGAAAATAAATAAGGGAGCCAATATCCCAGATAATAAATCTAATCTCCAACCTGATGGCATTGTCTTGGTAGACGGTCCAAGAGCTGAATGGCCATTGGGAAAAGTTGTCTCTGTCCATCCAGATAGCCAGGGGATTTTGAGAATAGTCAAAGTCCTGTCTAAAGGAACTACTTCCCTAAAGACAATGGATAAACTAATCCATGTAGATTCAGTGGGTCAGTTTTGATCCTGGGTGACCCCCGGAATCTCTAACTCCAAATGACCCTCAGACACCAAACAGGCACATATGTCCATAACATACAGCACATAAGTGCAAACAAAATTTGCACTTGTATTATCAATCTGATGGAGAATAAATGAACATATATGGTTAATGTCAGTCCTAAAAAAATGGACTCTATGCCAGTTCGCTTCCCCTGGAAGATGTGGAAAATTTCCACCATATCAATATTATAATTTAAGGAATTTATTATTTCTAAATCATACAATCTAAATCATATTATCTGAATCCTACATCTGTATCAAATCATTCATCTAGATCCTTCATCCATGACACCACCATGGACACATCTGCTATTAGGCCTAGGATGGCCTACTGGTTTTCAGTCTGTTTTTTTTTCCTTCCTTCCTGGTCTTCCTTGTCTCCCGTGCCCTCTTTCCCTTCTCGCCCCACTCCTTCTTCTCAATCCTCCCCCTCTGTCTCTTGGCCCTCCTCACTGCCTGTCTGTTCGGGCCATTGTCCAACCTCCTCCCAGCGTTCTTCGTATTGACCGTTCCGTTCTTCTCCTGTTGAAACTGTCGAGGCTGTCGCCCAGTACTTTGTGATGGTACGCTTGTCTCTCTACATCAGAAACGTAAGTCCGGCTCCTCTCCTTCTTCCTCCCTGGCGGGTAAGAAGACTTCCATATATTCCTCGCCCTGCTTCCCCTCCCATTTCAGTGGCAGAGTCACCTGTCCCTGCAATGGAGGTTACTTTGGTCCTTAATCCTCTCTTGGATACTGCCTTTGATCCGGTGCCCTATCCTGTTTCTGTCCTTCCTGCCCCGGATTCCCTTGACCGCCCGTCTCCAATTTCTTCTCCTGCTCCGGACTCTGTCAGTCTGCCTCTGGTCCGTCCTCCTACTCCCTTGCTTCCATTGTCTTCGCTAGCTTTGCCTATGCCCTGTCATCCTGATTTCACTGATCCTGGTCCTGATCTTCCTTAGTCTACTGTGGTCTCCTTTGCCTTTGTTTCTCCTTTGTTATCTCTATTTCTGTTCTCTCTTTTTTGTCTATGTCTTCCTCAATTAAATATTCGTGGTTTTTATGCCAACTTTCACGAACTCCAACTTCTGATCGCACAGTTTTCACCGCTTTGTGTTTGTCTCCAGGATCCGATGCTTGGCGCTCGTCCTGGTCGCTTCCATGGTTATTCCTTTCTCTCTTCCCCTCCAGCTTTTGCTGGGGCCCATAACTCTACTGGTCTCTTGACCCGTCTTGATATTTCCTTCGTCCCCTCTATTTTTTCAGTCACCCATTCAGTGTTTTGCGACCTGTATCTTTGTGAGTAAATGGTATATAGTCTGTTCCATTTATCTCCCCCCGAATGTCCCGCATTCTCTTCCTGATCTTAAACATCTGTTGGACTCCTTACCAGATCCTGAGCTCCTTTTGGGTGATTTTAACTGTCGCCATACCCTCTGGGGAGATGTCCTGACGAACACCCGGGGCCGCCTTCTTGAGCCATTTGTCCTCTTTTTCTTCTCTGTCTCTTCTGAATTCTGGCGAGCCTACTCATATTGACTCCAGCACTCACACCTTTTTCTGTTTTGATCTTTCTCTCTGCTCGTCTACTCTTTATTTGGTCTTAACCTGGTGGGTTCTTGATGACTTACATAACTGTGACCATTTCCCCATCCTTATCACCTTCTCTTTTCACCCTCCTGTCTTCTTCCCTAGGTGACAGTTTTCTAAGACTGACTGGAACCCTTCACTTTATGTTCTACTCTTTCCGACCTCTCTGATCTGCCTCTTCCTCTAACCCTCCTCCTCTTTCATTACACTGTATTCAATGCTGCCCTACACTCTGTTCCTTGTTCTACCTCCCATGGCACATGCGGAAGTGCATTTCCTAGTGGAATTCAGACTGTGTTCAGGTCTGTCCACTGTAATCGTGCAGCCCGTTTGAAACACAGGCACTGATAGATGACCGATTCTTATACAGTACAGGTACTTAGTTTCGGAAGGCGAGTGCAGTGGCCTGTAGACCCATCCTGTATGATCAAGCGTTAGAGTTGGAAATACACCATTACAGTCTGACTCTTCTCTGCCCCAGATCTGGAAGACAATCCATAAGATTGCCGGCAAGTTTGTTCCAGATGTCTCGCCAGTCCTTCACCTCCATGGTTTTGTTGTGGCAGATCCGGTGTCGGTCGCGATCCGAACTGGGTTCACACTTTTTGAGATACAGTAGTTCTGGTTCTCGTCTTCCTTCCTCTTTCCTTACTTGTAAGCCCCTTCTTGAATCTTGTCCCTTAGATTTTTGCACACATCTCCATCTTCCTCAATAATGATCCTTTCTCTCTCTCAGAACTCCAGTCTACCCTGGCTCTCTGCAGTTCTACAGCAGCATGCTCAGATAACATTCATTACAAGATGCTTCCCCATTTCCCTCCATGCACATTTCAGTATTTATTAAATATATATACTGTAACTATATATATGAGTTGTTGTCAGTCCCCAAGGATTAGCTTGATTTGGTTATTATTCTTATTCAGAAACCAGGTTCTCTTAAGAATGTCTTCTAAGGACTTTACTCCCCCCCCCCATTGCCCTAACAAGTTGCTTTGTTACTTTTATTCAAACTTTTTGAACATATGGGCAATGTCCATTTGATGTGGTTCTTAGAACATTAATGCCACCTCTCCTTCTCAATTTGACTTTCACAAGTGTCATAGCATGATTTATGTCTGGTCTATATTCACACTGCCTTTGCTTCAAAGACCTTCATTCATGCTGTCCATTTTGACCTGGAAAGGGTATATGACACCACCTAGAGATACCATATTGTCTCAACTCCATTTTTTGTTCTTCATGACAATCTCCTTATCTTCCTTCTTAGCTTACTCTCTAGTCGTTTCTTTCGAGTGAGGCTTGGTACCACTCTTTATGCCTCTTTTTGGCAATATAAAGGTGTACCCCAAGGTAGTGTTCTGAGCACTACTTTTGTTTTTCCTGGTTGCCTCAATGATCTTCCCTCTGGAATTTTCTCAGCTATGTTATTGATCTTACTCTTTGCTGTTGCAGTGATGACTCGCCTTTCTTCCAACAGCGGCTTCAACTTGCAACTGATACCGTGTTGCCCTGGGCCACCAATCATGGCTTCAAGTTCTCTACAGCAGAGATTTGTGCTATGACTTTTACTCGAATGCAGATCATTCTTCGTTGTTCTATGGTAGTCCTCTTGTTGTATATTCTGCTAAACTTTTGAGGTTAATCTTTGACACTCCTTTTTCTTGGTTGCCCCATATCTCTTGCCTCAGAGTTGAACACACTAAGGCCCTTAGCTTACTTAAGGTCATCTCCCATAATTCCTGGGGAGCCGATAGATGCACACTCTTCTATTTACATTCCTCTCTTGTGCTGTCTAAACTTGATTATGGCTGTCCCGCTTACTCGTGTGCCTCTCAAACTCTTCATCGTCTTGATGCTCTGCACCATACTGGATTACGCCTCGGCTCTGATGCCTTTCGTTCCTCCCCTACCCTGACCCTGTATGTTGAAACTGGTATCCTATCTCTTAAAAGATCGTCGTGATCATTACTGTAGTCGCTACCTTAAGTGGTCCCTACAACATCCTCACTCTCCATTATATCATGCTTTGACCATTACCCCTCTTGTGGGCCCTGTTCCCTTTCATCATCTCCTTTCTGTATGGTTGTCTTGCTTGCAAAATTCTCTCCCGGTTCGTGTTACCAATGTTACTCCTGTCGTTCCATCCTTGCCCCCAAGAAGGGTCCCTCTTCCTATGTTTTGCAGAACCTTGACCCTCATGACTAAAGCTTTTACCCCTCCTACACCTCTGAAACACTTTTTCTTTGCTCCCTTTTCTTCACACTCCAGCTACATCTCCATCTTCACAGATGGATCTAAGTCTGTTGTCCGTGTAGACTTCTCTGTTGTATTTCCTGACTGCACCTATATGGGTCGCCTCCCTCCGGAGACTAGCATCTTCACAGAATAACTTTATTCAATTTTGTATGCTCTTCGTCAACTGCTTTCTCGCCCTAATTCTTCCTTTGTTGTTGTCGGCGACTCTCGCAGTGCCCTCGTAGCACTGGAGTCCTTTAATCCTGTCCATACTGTGGTCGTCGAATTTCAATATTAGCTGTTTCTTATTTCCAACAGATTTAAGACAGTCGAGTTTTGCTTGGTTCCCAGCCTTATTTGTGTTTCCTTAAAAGAGCGTGCGGATGCTGCCGCGAAGGAGGCTATCCACACTTGTTCCATATCTTGCAAAGGTGTTCCTTATTTTGACTTCTACCCACTTATTCATTCCTCAATCCTTGCCCGTTGGCAGGATTGCTGGTCTTTTGTTATTGATAACAAGCTGCGTGCTCTTAAGGGTAGTGTGTCCTAATGACCTTCCTCCTACCACAGTAACCGGCGGTGGGAAACGGCTCTGATGAGGTCGCATATAGGCAGTACCATTTAACTCACTGGCACTTAATGGAGCGCCGCCCTGCTCCTTATTGCCCAAACTGCGTTGTCCCTTTTACAGTCGTGCAAATCCTTGTTGAATGTCCAGACTTCTAGGATGTGCGTGCGTTTTGCTTCCTGACTGTCCCTCGCAGTCAACTGTCCCTCAATAGAAACCTTGGTGAATTGTATACCCTTGATGTTGTTCGGCTTATGCACTTTTGCTCTCATATTGGAATCCTTAGTGATATTTAGCGCCTTTTGAATATCCTGCATATTTGAAGTTGCTAAATATCCTCCCGGCTTGGTGCCTTTTTTTTATATAATTACTTACTTCCTGCTATAATTTTCAAATCTGTAATAAAGAATTAATCAGTACTACCTAAATCCTACATACCTATAGGATTAATAAATCCTATATAACTTTATCTTACAACCACACTTGATCTCAAGTTAATTGTCTAGACGAGAAATAATTAATCAATATTCATTGTTGGCCACCATCACTACGGGAGGCAGCAGCAGCCCGGGAGATCTTGCTAGTAGGGGGGGGGGGGGGAGGGGAAGAACCTTTTGTTTACATTTTCAGTGAACATGTGTTATGGTGTCTGTAACTTTTTAACAAAACTAACCCTGCATAAACTAATCCTAAATCCCAGTGATAGCTCCCTAAGATACTCGGGGACATTCTGAATTATAAACGAATCTGAAAAACAATCATAGGAATCAAAGGAACAATCATAGGAACTTATGCCCGAAACGCTTTGCGTAATAGTGGCTTTAGGCATTGTATGTACTAGCTATACCTATAAGTTAAACAATCCTTGTAAATATTTATTGTATGTATGTACCTTACCTAAATAAAATTGTATTGTATTGTGTAAAGAGTGTAGAGAGTGGTCCACCGCAGCATGTGTACCTCTCGCTCACCACTACCAGATATATTAATGTAGAGAGTGGTCCACCGCAGCATGTGTACCTCTCGCTCACCACTACCAGATATATTAATGTAGAGAGTGGTCCACCGCAGCATGGGTACCTCTCGCTCACCACTACCAGATATATTAATGTAGAGAGTGGTCCACCGCAGCATGGGTACCTCTCGCTCACCACTACCAGATATATTAATGTAGAGAGTGGTCCACCGCAGCATGTGTACCTCTCGCTCACCACTACCAGATATATTAATGTAGAGAGTGGTCCACCGCAGCATGGGTACCTCTCGCTCACCACTACCAGATATATTAATGTAGAGAGTGGTCCACCGCAGCATGGGTACCTCTCGCTCACCACTACCAGATATATTAATGTAGAGAGTGGTCCACCGCAGCATGGGTACCTCTCGCTCACCACTACCAGATATATTAATGTAGAGAGTGGTCCACCGCAGCATGTGTACCTCTCGCTCACCACTACCAGATATATTAATGTAGAGAGTGGTCCACCGCAGCATGTGTACCTCTCGCTCACCACTACCAGATATATTAATGTAGAGAGTGGTCCACCGCAGAATGTGTACCTCTCGCTCACCACTACCAGATATATTAATGTAGAGAGTGGTCCACCGCAGCATGTGTACCTCTCGCTCACCACTACCAGATATATTAATGTAGAGAGTGGTCCACCGCAGAATGTGTACCTCTCGCTCACCACTACCAGATATATTAATGTAGAGAGTGGTCCACCGCAGCATGTGTACCTCTCGCTCACCACTACCAGATATATTAATGTAGAGAGTGGTCCACCGCAGAATGTGTACCTCTCGCTCACCACTACCAGATATATTAATGTAGAGAGTGGTCCACCGCAGCATGTGTACCTCTCGCTCACCACTACCAGATATATTAATGTAGAGAGTGGTCCACCGCAGCATGTGTATCTCTCGCTCACCACTACCAGATATATTAATGTAGAGAGTGGTCCACCGCAGCATGGGTACCTCTCGCTCACCACTACCAGATATTTAATGTAGAGAGTGGTCCACCGCAGCATGGGTACCTCTCGCTCACCACTACCAGATATATTAATGTAGAGAGTGGTCCACCGCAGCATGGGTACCTCTCGCTCACCACTACCAGATATATTAATGTAGAGAGTGGTCCACCGCAGCATGGGTACCTCTCGCTCACCACTACCAGATATATTAATGTAGAGAGTGGTCCACCGCAGCATGGGTACCTCTCGCTCACCACTACCAGATATATTAATGTAGAGAGTGGTCCACCGCAGCATGGGTACCTCTCGCTCACCACTACCAGATATATTAATGTAGAGAGTGGTCCACCGCAGCATGTGTACCTCTCGCTCACCACTACCAGATATATTAATGTAGAGAGTGGTCCACCGCAGCATGGGTACCTCTCGCTCACCACTACCAGATATATTAATGTAGAGAGTGGTCCACCGCAGCATGGGTACCTCTCGCTCACCACTACCAGATATATTAATGTAGAGAGTGGTCCACCGCAGCATGGGTACCTCTCGCTCACCACTACCAGATATATTAATGTAGAGAGTGGTCCACCGCAGCATGGGTACCTCTCGCTCACCACTACCAGATATATTAATGTAGAGAGTGGTCCACCGCAGCATGGGTACCTCTCGCTCACCACTACCAGATATATTAATGTAGAGAGTGGTCCACCGCAGCATGTGTACCTCTCGCTCACCACTACCAGATATATTAATGTAGAGAGTGGTCCACCGCAGCATGGGTACCTCTCGCTCACCACTACCAGATATATTAATGTAGAGAGTGGTCCACCGCAGCATGGGTACCTCTCGCTCACCACTACCAGATATATTAATGTAGAGAGTGGTCCACCGCAGCATGTGTACCTCTCGCTCACCACTACCAGATATATTAATGTAGAGAGTGGGCCACCGCAGCATGTGTACCTCTCGCTCACCACTACCAGATATATTAATCAAAACAATCGCTACAGCGTGAGTCCATCCTGTAGTTGACCAGACCACACACTAGCAAGTGAAGGGACGATGACGTTTCGGTCCGTCCTGGACCATTCTCAAGTCGATTGTGAGAATGGTCCAGGACGGACCGAAACTGAATTATAAACCGACCGAATTTGTTTCGGACGGACCGAAACGTCGTCGTCCCTTCACCTTCTAGTGTGTGATATGGTCAACATACTTTAGCCACGTTATTGTGACTCATCGCCTCCATCCTATAGCAACGCTGCTATCTAATCAATACTGTGACTTATCTCTTGAAGAGATTTATATCTGGCAATTGTCAGATAGGCATCGGTTCTCAATTTTGGATATGTATGTATTAGATGTTTGTAGTGTAAATTGGCCAATTACATTTTTTTTATGACCTCGCCCTAACGCCTTAACTATGACCGCCCTAGGGAGCCGGTCGGCCGAGCGGACAGCACGCTGGACTTGAGATCCTGTGGTCCTGGGTTCGATCCCAGGCGATGGCGAGAAACAATGGGCAGAGTTTCTTTCACCCTATGCCCCTGTTACCTAGCAGTAAAATAGGTACATGGGTGTTAGTCAGCTGTCATGGGCTGCTTCTTGAGGGTGGAGGCCTGGTCGAGGACCGGGCCGTGGGGACACTAAAGCCCCGAAATCATCTCAAGATAGCCTCAAGATAACCTTAAGGTGTCCATGTAAAAAAATGTAATAGTTAAGTAGTGGAGAAATTCCCCACAATAAAGTATGCATGTAACTTAATTTTAACTCACATAATCAGTTAGTTATAAATAGCATTTAAAATAATCTTTATAACCTAATCTGAATAAAATATATGTAAATCATAAATAATTCTAAATCTTGCCTAAATAATATATAACTAGGTAATTTCATAATTACTAGACATAATCCCATTTATTGGTTGCAACAGTTTAAAAGCTAGGCTAGATGGAGTACAGTGTTCAGATCTTATTGAGACTAGAACAGAACCAATATTTATACAGTCATTGTGCTGTATTTTTATCATATAATCCATTGTATAAAATGCAATACAAAATGCGTCTAAATACCAACAAGTACTTTTATGAACCCCCAGTTAGCCTGGTGAAGTGAGTCTACCAGGTGAGAGTTATACCTGACCAGAGATTAGGATGTCAGGGGAAGGAAGTTTATTAAGAAAACGTCAGAGAATAGAGACAAGCAGAGGACGAGTATTTTAAAAAAGTTAGATGGAATGAGATGTCGACATTTTGTTACATATCGTAACGCATCACTTAAGTTACTACAGTCATCAGAAATGGGCGTACGTCGTTGACCTCCTGAGAAGAAGAAAGAATATGGTCCCTGTTTAGTAGTTGTGTGACAGCTACTTGTTATCAAGTGTGAGGAAGCTGCAGGGACGTCATACTCTATTTCTCAGTGATTGTGAAGATATTAGAGGCGACTTTAAGCCTAGAGGGTGGTCGTTCGTTCCTGTGTGGACTATAATGTGCGATATTCCTTCGAGTAGGGAAGAATAAGCAGGTATTTCTGTGTGAAGCCTGCAAGCAACTTCATGTGCTCAAGTCAGGATTGAAAGAAGCTTAGAGGCAGTCCTAATGGATTTTGTTGGATGACCCAGAGTAACGCCATGATGGAGCATCAGAGGGCAAGTGTCTTCACGTCCTAAAATTCTGTGGTAAGCTCACTTATTTAGTTGAGAGATTCTTTATTAGTGTTTGATCATGTGCCCGGAGATCGTAGAAGACGCATATGAATATTTGTTAGAGAAGATATTAAGATAGTGAATAAATATAATGAGTTAGAAATGGGTGGACATTGTTTGTAATGTTTGCAATAGGCAAATAGGACACTGGAATTTATTAATCGAAGTGTTAGTAATAAAACACCAGCTGTTGTTCTTCAGCTATATCTTGCTCTGGTTAGGCCCCATTTAGATTATGCAGTTCAGTTTGGTCACTGTACTATTGAATGGATGTAAATTCACTAGAACGTGTCTAGAGTAGGATGGCAAAGTTAATCTCCCAAATTAGAAGCCTGTTATATGAAGAAAGATTAACAAAGCTTAAATTACTTTCTCTACAAAGGCGAAAAATTAGGGGTAACATGAAATTAGAGGTGTAAAAGTGGATGAATGGATATAACAAATTGGATATTAATAGGGTATTAAAAATATCAACACAAGACAGAATACGAAACAATGGGTATAAATTGGACAAGTTTAGATTTAGGAAAGACCTGGGTAAATACTGGTTCGGTAACAGAGTTGTTGATTTGTGGAACCAATTACCATGTAACATGGTGGAGGTGGGGTCTCTTGATTGTTTCAATCGTGGGTTGGACATATATATGTGTGGAATTGGGTGGTTATAAGTAGGAGCTGCCTCGTATGGGCCAATAGGCCTTCAGCAGTTACCTTTATTCTTATGTTCTTATTGTGACAGTGAAAGCGACTCATCGTCGCTTGCCTGTGGTCAGTGAGCGGCTGAAGGGCGGTGCATCGGTGGTTGATTTTGGTATGAACTTGTCCGAAAAAGTTTCCACCGCAGCTTAGCCGGTGTGCAGAAAGGAATATCTGAAAGAGGAATTTATATTTGGTGTAAATATATGTATTTATATATTACTAGCTGTACCCGGCCACGCGTTGCTGAGCCACAGCAACCTCCCCCTGTCTTCCAGTTCTCCCCACCATTTCCCCCTCCCCTGTCCCCTCGTCCTCCCAACCGTTCCACACTCCCCCGTCCCCTCGTCCTCTCAACCATCCTTACTCCCTCGTCCCTTTTTCCTCCCATTCATCCTCCAATCCACCATCCCCTCGTCCTCCTAACCATTCCCTCTCCAAACGTCACCCGGTCTTAGAAGAGGATCTAGATGAAGATTTCCTGTACAGCAAACATCACAGCAATGTTACGGCCCTCTCGGGACGCAACGGGGTTCTTGCTCTGATGTTGTTAGAGGAAGATATATGTATCCGTTCCCAAGCCAGTAGTGGCTATCAAGGGATGAGATCCGTGACGCAAGTAACTTAAAGGGAGTAGGGAAAGAAAGCTAAGAACTTAATATTATAATGTTCACCATCACCGATTAAATATATAAAATAAAAGAGTACACAAGGGGGAGGGGTATTAACACTTTACAAGGGGATTATGCACAATCTAGTCTTCTGCTGAAGACTCTTGATCAAGAAGCTAGGTGCTGAGTCCGCGGTGCTTTCTTCGTGGCCTCAAGACGTGTCTTCTGAGAATGCCGAGCCTACCCGGGCCACAGGTCAGCCAAAACACAGGTCCACTGGGGGCACCGTCGTGGAGGCTGTCAACCACACGTCCAGCTGGTCTGCTGGCAGGTACTGAGCCACCAAGGCTGGTACGGCCACTCCACGAACGATATAAGGGGTACGCCCTAGACAGGAGTCTCGTGTGATATCACAAATCACCCTCCTGTCCTCAATACCCCAGTGGATGATCGTCTCCAACAGTCGGTCCCGGGTAAATCCTTTCACTGCCACTCCACTGGCAGGCTAACACACCACAGTGTTCTTCCGGGGGGACGACGTCACAACAGCTGCAGCAAACTTCACAGTATGGAGACTGGCTGCCTCGGGTAGACTGACTCCACTTCCATCACAGTGGTCCCAGGTCGGCTCTGTAAGCAGACACGTCATCAATAACTGGGACACTAATACACCTCACTTACGGGCTCGGGCACAAACACCTGACGTATCCAGTCCATAGATGGCGCTGTCGTCGGAGCACCACCTCACCAGAGGTCAGGGGCGGCGGTGTTGAGCGCTGAACCAGACTGGAAACTGGTCCTCGAGGCCAGTACACGCTGTCCTCACCAGGTGTCGTCGTCCGTTTGGCGGGGGTTTCGGGAGCTGACCCACAGATGGCGTGGTCGTCACTGCTCCAGGCTCGGACGCTGGATCCGGGTTCGTAACACCTCCCCACCAAAAAGAATTTGGTTTGGGGTTCTATAAAAAGAAACACAAACCAAATTAGTACGGCGACACAACTCCAAATGGACTTACTTGCTTTATGAACTGGAGTGATGAGGCTGTCTTGTCCACAGAACTTTACTACTAGAAAATTCCTGGCACAAAGGGAACTTGAAAATGGCAGGCGATGACCTGCCTGACGTAATCTTCCACACCTCCACTGCGATGGCAAGCAGGGGCATCATCTCACACCTCTCGAGTAAGGATTGGTTTCGACACGATCTGGGGTGACTCGACACTTCCTTATGTCGTGGCACCGATGATGGCTGACCACAGACGGCATTTCTGGTGCCAGTCCGATGGTCCTTCAGGGAGACAGGAACCTGGAATACAGGGGTCTGATAATTCAGAGTGATAGCGACAGCGGGTAAAACAGTACTTACAGCATACTCTACTAGGTCCACACCTAGTCCCAACGGGGCTGTTCGTACGTCGCAGATGGCATTCGCTCTGCCACCGTCAGGTCGACCAACGTTCCGCATAACGCTGTGTTGAGGCTCAGCAATCACGCGGGGGGTGTCAACCTGTCGGAAACAGTCACTCATATTATCACATGTCGTACCTCCTGTATCAACCATCACCTTCCAGGTCCCTTCGTCAACTGCAACACCTGCAGTACAAATCTCCAATCCCTGGGACCTCTTCACGATGTTCATGGGAGCCATCATTCGTCGGGTCGTCCACCGGTCCTCACTGAGAGCACAAACGAGAACACATACGAGATTCAAACAAAATACCGATAGGAAACATTTGGTAAGTTGAGGGATAAGTTTCCTGAGCTTGTCATGTCCATAGCCGGCACCATCCACTAGCCTGGCTTGGACCAAAGAGGGCACTAGACCTTTTGAACACACCTCACATACCTCTGACGTCTGGGGAATCTCTGGCTGGTCCACTACACGCTGTAACTTGCCATACCGCAAGCACACCTCAGCCTTCGCTCCAGACTCGTTGGTATCCGTGGGTGTCTGCACACAAGGCCTCTCTTCTAGCTCAGGTACTTCTGCCATCGTAACCTCATGTTCCTTGTCGAGAG